TGGCCGAGTTGCTCACCTTGGTGGGCATCAAACATTCTGAACTAGAACCCTCTCGTTGGAAATGGAAAAGTCGAATTGTGTATAAGGGGTGACCAGGTAAGAGATCAAGACAACAACCTGCTATTGTTTGATCAACCGGCAACAATGCCGACATCTTTGATAGCATTAAATGCAGCTCTCTGGTATGCTTGTAGGAAGGGCCATGTAGCATCCTGCTCAGATGCTGTACAGGCATTCTTGCAGTCGGAACTCGATGACAGCGACCTGACATACGTCATCATTCCTGTCGAGCTGTGGCTCGATGAATGGCATACCAGATTTGATCCAGGAACCAGGTTGGCAGTTCGTCTGAAGAAATCTCTCTACGGCCATCCAAAGGCAGGCCGCTGATGGCAAGATCATTTAGACCGTCGACTTAGGAACCTTGGAGCACAGGAAATGCCCATGTACCCATCAAATTTTTTGATCCGATGGAAAATTGGCAGTGAAACGGTAACCATACTTCTCAATGTTTACGTAGATGATCTTACTTTATGTGGTCATCAGAGATGCCATTCAGATTTTTGGCACAAGCTGCGTGAATCAGTAAAGCTGGAGCCTGAGCAGTACATCCTTGGCCAGGAAGGCACACTCATTCTTGGTCGAAAACACTACATCAAGGTTGAAAATGATCACACCAAATGTGAACTTGACATGAGGTCTTACGCAGAAAGTATTGTCGACACCTATTGTGAAATAACTGGGTTTGATAAGAAGCGGTTTCGAAACGTTCCCATTCCACACATCCCAGAAAGTTCTATCACAGAAGAAGATTTAACACAATCTGGTGAACTCGGCGTCTCGCATCCTGATGCGTCTGTTGTGGTTATCAAGGCTGACTAGGCCCGACTTGTCATTCATTGTGACAAGGTTGGACAGCAGGGTCACGTCTTGGACAAAGTTCGAAGATCGTCAGTTACATCGCTGTGTGTCGTATCTCAATTCATCCACGGAAGTGGTTTTAACCGGCTCGGTGTCTCACAAAGGAGATGTTCGGCTCGATGTCTACACCGATGCAGACTTCGCCGGCTGTGTCCACAGTGTCAAGAGCACGTCTGGATTGTGGGTTGAGGTAACAGGCGATGGCCATTCGTTTCCATTATTTTGGCAAAGTAAGAAGCAGTCAAGTGTGGCGCGCTCAACTACGGAGTCGGATTATTTTATTGCGATGGCCAATGGACTGTTTGGGGAAGTCTATAACTTGCAAGCCTTTTTACAGGCACTTCTTGGAACGGTGGTCAATGTTCAGTTTTATCAAGATAACAGCGCAGTACTGCAGGTGCTAAAGGCTGTGTACTCGGCACGACTACGTCACACCGGAAGGGTGCACAAGGTGAACGTGGCATCGGTGTCCGAAGCGTTGGAGGATGAAACAATATCCGCAGATCACTGTACGACTTTGGAGCGAAAGGCAAACAGCTTCACCAAGATCATTCCACCGATTGAATGGACGATGACTCTGCAACAGCTTAGCCTGAATTATAAATCATAGTTTTTTAGCTCGAAATAGGAATTATGCAGAAAACCATGACTTTCCTGGATCGCCAAGTCTCGAGGGGGGAGTTGAAGAATCACACACAATGTGATCCTCTTTGTCATGTATAGATACTCCACTTGGTTGATCGGTTGTCATGTGTCATTCCTGCATTCTCATTTTGGTATATTCCGACCTTTGGCTCAAGTACTGCTAAAACAGTGCGCGTCTTCATTGTTGCTGTGATTGGAGCTGTGTCATAGTAACAACATTCTATGTCTGATGGTGGAACTGACCGGGAACGTTGGCGCAAAATTTTGGAAATTGTTCCGCTCTTGAAACGTGGCGAATGATTTGATATTTGTGTTGGGATTGTGTTTTTTCCGCCGTGATGCCAATTTCGATTGGATGCGCCAAACATGATTTGTTCGCAGCACTGAACGTGTCAACAGTAAATTTCCATGCAAAACATTGCAATACAACACAAAACACATGTGTATGTAAAAATGAAATTCTGTGTGTACAGTTAGCTGTGTTGTGATCAGAATCCGTGTTGTCATTTAATTTGGGGTCGTCTGAAACTTCAGAACCCCATTGAATCACATAGTGTTCACCTCACCTGATGTTTCCTCATTTTTTTTTGGCCGACGAAAAATCCAATCCATTTTCAAACAAATCCATATCATATGGCTGGTTATGTGTGCATATATACATATATGCACATACACTATTGTATGTTTGTATGTTTGTCTGCCTATGTATACACACATAATATATATGTATGTATGTATGTATGTATATACGAATATGCTACACATGACCATTTTCATTCCATCAAAAAGGTTGGTTGCGGTGAATCCAACATTTTTGCAATGATTTTCTTTCGCAAATAGGCGCAATGGCTGCATCCTTTAAGACCCCCGTGTGCTGCCTTTTCAAGGCGCTTTTCGACAGTCTGCCACGAAATTCAATCCATGTTGGGCGATGGACATCCGATACCCAAATCCCCCACGTTTGGAGATTGTTGCTTTGGGGTTGGTAAATCCTTTTTGTAAACATAAACCAACAGCCAGAGCAAATGTGACTTGATGAAAATTTGAAACCCAAACGACCATAATTATTGTTTACTTTTGGTTTTCATCATCCATTCTTGTTGGTACCCAGTTTTGTCCTCGGCCCGCAGATGCTGGTGTTGGATATGATGCAATTCATCCCCTTAACCCAATATCAAATACCTCTTTGAAAGACATTGGTTAAGTCTTGGATCTAAAATATATATATATATGTATTCAAGGGGGATTATCATGATTATTAACCATGCAACCATGATGTTTGGCGACAGTTTCTACCATTCATGTGGGATTCACCCTGCCATATCCGTTTGGGGATGGTTTCCGTGTTTCCTGGGCGAAGATGAAATCGCTGCTGGTTGACATATGGTTTCCCCCACGCGAAATCTGGCAGGATGGTTTGGTGTGGAGGGAACTACTGGTGTTTCAGCTGCGGGGGATGCAAATGGGGGTGAAACACCAACCGCATTTTAAACATTTGGACATGAATGGAAAAAATGAGGCTGCTTTAGAGGGAAATGATATGATGCACATTGATATACAATCAATGATACGATATTTGGATATATTTGGGTTGTGTCAAAACCGGGGACACATTGACATTTCAAAATGGAGAGTGGAATGTTAAACCATGGGATATTTTTCTTGGGGGTTTTAATTTTGAGACAACCAATCCGATAAACGAATACAATAATCCACGCCCATTCATTCAGGAATCCCAACCAATAAGCATAGATTTAGGTGATGTTAAATTTTTCCATTTCTTGGGAAATGATTAACCTTTGTCGAATGATGTATTTGAGATGGGTCAGCAATTCCAGTGGAAGAAAACAGGCCAGAACTTGTCGAAACTGGATCTGAATCTCAAAAAACATCCGACACTTTTCGAGGTCAGCTGGTGACACTGCGGTAAACCGGTTACCCTCTGGTAAACTAGCATAGCTATTGAAAATGGCCCATTTATTATACCCATTAAAAATGGTGATTTTCCATAGTTACTCATAGTTATGTTAGCTTACCAGAGGGTAAACCCCTCATCGATTTTGTTACATTTGCATTCATTTGGGGTCCTTGTGTCCCCCATTGGGAGCTGCTGCCTGAGATAGTGGCCGAGCTTGGCCCCAAGCAATGGTTCTGCATCAATGCAGATTGGGTCCCTGGGACCCAGTTTGGGATAAACACGGCTGACATGGAAAAGATCAAGCGACTGGGATGTTTTTTTTTTATGCGGAAGCTGAGCCATGGCGATACTCGTGGAACAGTAATGAATCAATTCCAGTGGAATAGTGTTATAGAAGCCTGGTGAGACTAGTAGAAGCAGATGTGGAAGGTCTCATTATGAATGAATTGATTTTTTCCTCGAGGCAAAACACAGCATTTACGATGGTTTTACGCCCGAAAATCTGGTGTTTTTTCCTGTATAGCAACTGCAACCCGAAAAAGATGCAGAAAAGTCTCAATGCTACTGAAGACAGAGGCAACTGAACAAGTTTTTGTTTTGATAGCTATCTGAATCTCCTTTATCTCGCGGTTCCAGTACTACACATTCTCCCGGTGAGACAGCGCCGCGCCAAGGCCTTTGTTGAAGACCATTCCCTGGCTTTGGCTGAAGCCATCAGCTGCGGTGCCGTGGGGTGGGAGATGTGCCATGGCATGGTCAATCCATTGAAATATATATATATATATACACCTAAATATGTTATATATATATATACACATAAATATGTAAGGATTCCCATGGCATGGGATGGATGACCATAACCCATAACCATAACCCATATATATATATATAAAGCATGTTTTGACTCGACTCTTGGGCATTAGTCTGATACCAGTCTGATACCCCAATCTCCGCAGCAATGAGCAACCCGAGGCGCCGAGGTATCAAAAGTCGGCAACATATCTTTGCCTGATATGTATTTGAGACTTTGCAAAGCGTTGACAAAATTAAACACATAACAGAAGCAAAACAAAAATTCCCGGGTGGAAGTGCCATGGCACAAAAATTGGGGATGGCTGAAAAATACATCTCAATACGAAAAAAGAAACCCGCAGTTTTGCAGGATGCAAATCCAGCTATTACCAGCAAGTATAAATCATGAAAAAGACGCAGGTTTAGCCACGAAGTCCACTTTTCAAGAATCCTTTCTTCTCATTATTTTTGATGGCCAGATATGGGGGTAAATTCCACAATGCCTCATTTTTTCAGTCGCATCATGAAAGGGGTGCCCAAAAACAAGGCTGGTCCTAGAAAAGATGAAGGAATGGTGTTGGAACCGGGATTGCACAAACATATTAAGATATGTCATGCATTCTCCTTTCCTTCCAACGAATATGAAACAATATTGGCCATTTTAAAATGGTTTACCCCAAATCAAATGGGGCTCCGGCATCTTGAGTTGCCAAGTGTTTCCAACATGGGAGGTGCACCAGTCTTTTTCGGAGATCCAGAGAAGATGCGCTTTGAAGATGAGCAGGTGCGTCGCCACTGCCATCCATGGATTCACTGGTGAAGTCAGTGAACATTGGACGGTTGGCAGGTAAGCAAAAGTGGGGATGTAGGGAAGAACAAGGGAGGATTTCAAGCAACACAAAACGAGGATTTTCAATAAGAAATTTCACAAAATCAATGAGGGAGATGAAACAAACAAACATGGGGCAGGCACTAACGATTGAATGGATCGGGGATCACAACCACAACAATAGAAGCAGCAGCAACAGCAGCAGCAGCGGCGGCGGCGGCGACCACGGCGACAACTTCGATGACGACAACAACGACAACCTCAACGACAGCGCCAACGACGACAGCAACAGCAACAGCAACGGCATTAACAACAGCAACAGCAGCAACAAGAACAAGACCAAGACCAAGACCAAGACCAAGAACAACAACCACAACCACAACCACAACCCGAACACGAACAAGGCCAACAATGCTGACGGGGAGACGGTGAGCACAACGGTAAGAACAAATGCCAAAAAAACAAAGAACCAGAAGCACGGCAGTAACCATGGCAACCAGAACTAGAACAGTGCAACGGGAACAAGAGCAGGAAAAAACAAAAAAAACAAACACAACAATAACAAAAACAGGAACAATAAGAAAAAATCAGAACAACAACTAAAATCAACAAGAAGAACAATAGCAACAACCCCTTGGACAGAATGGGATCCCGAAGAACTCATGGACGTAGAGCGGATGCCACAAAAAACCAGATCAATTTTGGAGGGATTATACAACCCAAATGGTGAGTCATTGGGGATGGTTTTATGTCACATATGTCTTTTGATTTGCCATATTACAAGACATTGCTGACTTTCTCTCCTTCCAAGGCATCCTATTTCAGGGTCGTGGGTTTGGCAATGTAAGGACTCTGCCCCTGGATCAAAGATTGATCTACCCTCCGGTAAACTAACATAGCTATTGAAAATTGCCCATTTATAGTTGATTTACCCATAAAAAATGGTGATTTTCCATAGTTATGTTAGTTTACCAGAGGGTACTTCAATTTGGAAAAAATATGTAACTGGCGGCCTTCATTGGAGGCACAACTGGGTGATCTGGATTGCCATTGGCTGCGATGCAGCGCCAACGGCATGTTCCCTGGCTGGGAAGAATGGGGTCGCAAAATTGTGGGGTTTAATTGGGTTAATAATGGGTTATTCAACAGTGGGTTGATAACGGGGTAATAACGGGTTATTAATAGTGGGTTAATAGTGGGTTAATAACCAATACTGGTTGATTGGGTTATTCTTCGTCCATTATTAGCCTCTTACTAACCTAATTAATTAATTAACCCAATTAATTAACCCAATTACTAATTATTATTCATGGGTAAATACTGGTTAATCATCGGTCAATATTGGCTTACTAATGTGTTAATGATGGTACATGATCTGTAAATGGATGACATGTTTGATTTCAGAACCCCAAGACAAACAGATCCAATACTAAACCAAGGTGTCTAATAGTGGGGGAAGTGAATACTTGATGTGGACCTTGTTGGGTTCTGAATTGTAGCAATGGGGGCCATTAAAGCTGCATTGCACTGTTTGATTTGCAGGCTATTTGTTATTTGCAGGCTATTCGATATTTGCATGCTATTGGATAATATTGGATATTTATTTGGGTTTGTCTGGAAATAGTGTACCCCTACACCCAATGGTTAATGATCATTATCCCTACTAAATGGCTATAATTGGGGGTATACCCCATTTTCAGACATACCCATTTGATATTCGGATATTTGAGATCGAAAACGCATCGGAGGTGGCGCTGTGCCAAAACAAAAACCCGAAGCCTCCATGAGTTTTGAGCCGAGCTGCGCCCCAGGCCGATGCCTGATTTACTCAGTGACGATCCTTCAAAGTATCATTTCAGATCCATGTTCCGGGCCACGGTGCAGGCGGGACGTGGGGCCGGTGTCTGAAAAAAGGCCCATTGGTCAATAGAGAACACGAGAATCCATGGGAATTTGGAATTCAAGGTTTTTTCTCTTCAATTTTCGGACAAACCCAGAAAATCATATCCCATTATATCCCATTGATGGTTCCCATCATATATCCCTCATACTAGCCGCATAGCCCCATAACATCGGCAGGCGAGTGACCTCCCTCGCGGTGAGGGGAAGGGGGTGCTTAGCTCTTTCGTGGTGCAGAAAATGGCGCAACACGGCCAAAAGGTCCAGGAGAGATACGGGTACTGTGGATGCTTCGGCATGGGAGGATCTGGGAGGATCTCTTGGATCTCGGAGGTTGAAATCCCGTGATTTCACGGGAAAAAAACAGGGGGAACAGGGAACATGGATGGCCAAGATCCAGGATTTCACCGTTCAAGCAACAAAGTGGCTATAAGCTCCAGTGATCTTAGGCAATGGACAGCCCATCATTCCAATCACTATCATTCGGTGGTACTGACCTGCCTGGGATGATCTCTGGGTTTCTTGCTCATTTTGAGATGAGCAAATGCAAAAAGGATGAAGTTTTTGGATTCTTCTTCCCTTCTGCCCTTCTGGAATGGGACAAACCATCTCTCTCTCTCTATTTTTCTTGAATTGAAGCTTGCAGAATTTCCAGCACACTGGGCTAGATTTGGATACCCTCCTTTGCTAATCTAACCCAGTTGGAAATTCCCCCACAAAGAAATGCCCATTGATAGACAGTGCTCCCATGAAACTTGGGATTATTCAGCCGGTCAGGTCTTGCCGACTAGAGGAATCAACCTGGGATTGCTGAACCCCCTGCCGGTTGTTGACTTAGCAGGGTGAGCACTGCACCCAGCGACAAAGATAGCCATGCCGTAGTCACCTTGTTGAGCTTTGTGAAATCGGGGGATCAGGGATGGTCCTGCAGCAAAAGAGCAAAAGACCGAAGTTTAGCTTTGCCTTAAGACCCAAGGGTTAAACCGGTAAGTTTTGCCGCAATGCCTTTGGCAGATGGAACCAGCTCATCAGATACATGAGCTTAGCAGGAGATGATGCTGAGCCCCAAGGACTTCCTGTTGGAGGCTCCAAGTTTTGTTTTGGGGTCTGTATGGCTCCTTGGCAGCCGCAAAAAGCCACAGGTAAAGATCTTGTGGGGTCTCGATTTTGTTTTGAATCCAAAGCAACTTGACTTGGAACCTACAACATCCAGAAATAAACAGGGCAAACCTGCACTTGGTTGATTTGGACCATTTCAAAAAGCAAGAACCACCAGCTATTTTTCGCCCACCCCAACCAGTCCCATCCCAGTTTGGAGGCCTTGGACCTGTGGGAGAAACTATACCTCTGCATGTCTCGTGCCTTGCGCCTGATGTCGCAGCACGCAGAGCACAGACCCCCGAGTGGTCAGATTCGGGGCTTTGGGCGCGGCAGAGGCTTTGGAGGCTATCCTTTGGAACAGCCGCAGGCACCTGGAGATTGGGGCCAAGGGTGGCCTTTTTTTTATTCACTTTCCAGGTCAGGGGTAGGGGGGTGAAACCCTGGCAGCTGCCAGGCCGTCTCTGTTCCACAGGACAGCGGCGAGGTTGGCGACTCTGGGATCTGGTTCTCAACCAGGAAGAATTGGATGCAATCAGCAAAATATAGGATATAGGCGATTGACCCTGAAAACTGATGGAGGGCGCCGCAAGGGTGGTGATTTTACATGCAGGATCATGGACTTGAAGTCATTTACCGAACGAATGGAGAGAAGAAACACCATTTGTACCCATTTGTTTTTTGAGGATTTTTCTTAAACATCTCACTGAAGTTGAAGGGGAGAAAATTGCAGAAAGTTGGGTTTCTTCTGGAGAGAAACAGTGAAGGTTAAACGTTGGAACCAAAAGTTTGGACACAGGCCACTGGTGTCCGCCTCGGCGCATTTTCCAATTTTTCTTTCTTGGTCAAAGAGGTTTGTTTGAAAATGGAGTTGACCCCCGCTTGCGGCCACTTTCATAGGGAAACATGATGGTAAGTAGTGGAAACGTAGTGGATTTGGGAGCCTTTTTTCAGACAAAGCCCCCGTGGTAGAACCGAAAGTTCCACCGTAAAAAAGGGCAGGTCCACTCGGCCACCAGGATGCACAATCCTCTGATTCAGCGGCGGAGGCCGGACAGCTTGAAGATCCAACCGCATGATTCATGCCCAAGGTGGGTTGCAGTGAAGCAATGCAGCTAGGGTACAGAGTGAGGGTGGCATATTTTTAAAACACACACACATGTATATATATATATATAGAATATGTATATATAATATATGTTAATATATACATATATACATATACATATATATATAAATACGTATATTTATGTATATCTCTCTCTTTCTCTCTATTTGTGTTGGAGACCCCAAAGTTTCCCGGCTTCGCCGGTGAAGCCAGCGGAGTCGCATCACAAGATTCCAAGAGTAAATCCCCATAAAACCTCCCATAGAATTCCCATAAAATCACCATAAAATCACCATAAAATCCCCATCAAATCACCATAAAAACTATGGGGATTATCGATTTATGGGGATTAATGATGATTTATGGGGGTTTAGTCCAAGTAGATCCATTACTGTTATTGTTTTCCTTGGAACACCTACCGGGGATAAAAAGGCTCTGTGGCCCTCCGTTGGAGTTTGTTGACAAACCCATCTAACTATAGATATTTCATGATATATCTACCATAAACCATGATATACCAAAAGTATTATGGTTCTAATCAAACTGAGAATATTATGGTTGCACCATGGTATGTAGTTGATATAGCTGTACTTGTGATTGATCTACCACAATATACCCACATAAAGTACAGGCATCAGATAATTACGTATGGTCATATATCATGATATATCAGTTGGTTACCTTCTGGCTAGTTGACATAGCCATTGAAAATGGTCCATTTATCGACTATTTATTTCATCTATTAAATCCTATTAAACATGGTGATTTTTCCATAGCTACATGAGATAACCAGAGGGTATCTTTCTTCTAAACCAACTGATTTCAGGGATCACCCCGCAGGACGAGGACGAGGAGAAGTCGGAGAAGCCGCAGGAGACCGGCCGAGAGGAGAGGAGACCGCAGCGGGACCGCGCTCGCAGCGGGAGCGTTCTGAGAATGATATATATATATATATATATATATAGATAGTGAACCAGTCAATTTTTGGGTGTTTTTCAGAGAAAAATTGAATGGTGTCAACACGCAAGTCTTGGTATGAAAAAGAAACGCGATGAGGAGGTAAACTCATGGGCCAACACCCAAAGTTAAAGAACACAATTATACAATCAATGCATTATTTTAGCGAAGAGGAATGGCTCTTTCAACACATAGAGAAGGGATCAAAACAGTCATTACATGTAGACATGTATACATTCCTCTTAATGTGGATAGTCCCACCTAATTTGCATAGGAACACATAAGGATGCCGGAACCTTTCAAGTCACGCGATTCGGGGTCCCTGCAGAGCCGTGAAGGCAGAAGCCAAGCTGGAACAGCAGAAGAAGCACCGGCGACAAGTGGAAAGGCTCTGGACATCTCCGAAGTACTTACCATCTGGTTATGACATTCACAGTTTGCCATGGAAAATCCACCCATGCTATTAAGAACGGTAAACCATCTATTTCTATGGGCTATGGCTTCCATGGCTATGTGAGTCATAACCAGAGGGTACGGGAATTTATAGAAGTAAAACAATTCAGATGACCTAAACACAATTTTTGGGGGCCCGGATTTCCCCGAAAAGGGGTACCCCCTGAAAGACCCAGCAGTTTTAAAGAGAGGTTACCCTGGGATACTCCATAGATGTTAGCTGCCCTTTGTTGTTTTCTTCGGTTGCGTCGCAAGTGATGGTAGATTCCCAAGTATATATGTCATAATGTCCTTTCTTTTATTTCTCAGGAAATCCGACGTCCCCAAACCACATCAGCCGTTTTCCCCGAATTCTATCCTAGATTTTTGTTGGTGAAAAGTGAACCCCCCCTGCACCGGGAAAACATCATGATATCCCCCGAATTTTTGTGAAACCATTTAGCTCCACATCTCCATCCGCCAAGCCCTGCAGGGTGGAGGTCTTGCGGACGCTTCAGCGGCTGCTGGAAAGCTGTTGGCCACTCCTTGAAGACGGTCAGAGGTGCAGTGGCACAGGGCTCGGACATGGAGGATTTCTACGACGAAAATGGGGAGTTTAGCATCAAGAATTAGGGATTTCACCAATGGATGTGTCTAAACATGAAGAATTCTTGGCCCCACATCAACTGGCAATTTTGAGAGGGAAAATGATGGTCAACTATGTTTCTTTTGGCACCGTTTTAGGAGCTGAAACCAAGCAATACATACGGGGGATTGCAAGGTCTACAGTAACCCAGTTTAGTTGACCCAGTTCTGTTTTTTCTTATGTTTTCTTATGTTTTCTTGGTTGAAGTTGAATCATTCATCAGCGCCCTGGGGCTGATGGGCTGATGGGGCCATGGATGTCTTGTTCCACCTTCCAAAATTTGATTTGGAACACCAAGAAAGTGGCTTTGATTTATGAGTTTCAGCACTGGGACACGGAACTTTTGCCGGATTCCGATGACGTCCGGCCTGCGGCCTGGATAAAGCGTTCATCCGATAGTTCCAGCAGGGCAACCACTAGTTGGCCACCTTGTTTTGTTGAAGATGATAGGCCGATTTATGCCGATGAGTTTTTTGAGGTCAAGCAATTTAGAACCATGCCCATCTACATAATAGGGATCAGAACAGAGTGAGGCCTGATTAAACAGTATACTTTCTGTTCAGGTGTTGGTTTAGCAGAGTGGACTCATGTTCTGATTTCACTTGCGCTCGTTCGTGGTTTCACAGGAAACCGCGCTCACCCCATTGGGCAGTTTCGTTTGCGAAACCGGGCTGGGGAAGGAGAGAGATTCTAAGCTTCGCGGTGGAGAATATCAGCTTGGGGCTCCAGCAGATCTTTCAGGAGGGGCAGGCTGCCGTTGAAGATTTGACACCTAGGGACCTCTCCATCTGAAAGCAAGCTGGACTGGACTCTGTGATGTTGTGACCACACTGTGAGCATGGAAAATGGAACCACTCCACTTGACAGATGCCCTAATGTGCTGTTAAGTGCTGTTCACTGCACACTCAGACAGAAAGCCGTGTTCTTGGGGTGGAGGTCTGCTTTGATTCTGAGAAACCTATGCCTTGATCAGTACCCAACCCAATGGCCGCAAGAAGAAACATGCCAAGCATCCGGTGGTCAAATCCCATGGTTGCACTCCCCAATCCGAAGCATGTAGATTGCTAAGTTCTACTTGTTTCCCAATCTTTGCCGGTCAAAAATCACATCTTCGCCGTGAAATCCACGTTTGTTGCCCGTGAAATCCCACGTGAAACTTCGCTGGCGATGTCTCCTTCAGGACGCTGCCGAGGAGCACCGAGACGATGAGATCCAGAGCCTAGGTGATCCGCAGATGTCTGGCTTTTTTGGGACCGATGTGGTGTGGATCTAATGGGTATCATCCATTCATAGATTATGGATATCCCCTAACTAGTTGGTGAATCCCCAAAAAAGTGGGTAAAACTGCCTGCCATTTTTCAACCATCCCCCAGAAACATCATTTTTTGTTTGGTGGGATTGAAGCCAGTCCCAGTCATGGGTGGTTTATGGCTTTGTTTTACCCACATTAATTAATGGGGTTTAGTAAGTTCAGTAAACATTAGGAAACATAAATGAGAATCGGGTAAACATGAGTAATGAAACCTGAATAAACATTCACGGGGTTTAGTCAACATTACTGGGGTCTATGCAATGAATCTACTTCTATTGCAAGGTAGTGCCACCTTGGGTGTTTCTGGATGGATAAATCAACTACCTGTTTAACCTAGCCTTTAAAAAAAAATAACATAAAATAACCATGATACATCGAACAACCTATTTTTTGACCAGCAACTCAACAGCCGCGATTTCTGATAAAAACAAATCCTGTCATGAACACTGCGCAGCTTCTGGTAATCAAACATGGCTAGAAAATAAACTAGTTTGTATCATGATTTTTCCAACATTTTCCCATGTATTTAAATGAGCACATCCCCCGTTATTCAACACCATTGTATGGTCCCAATTCAACACCTTCGAGGCATGGGGCGCTTCTTGGCGCAAGAGCTCTCTGAGATGCAGATGGGTGCTGCGCCCGGAACAGCGGAGGGCCACAGGGCGGTTGGAGGTGTGAAAATCCCAGGGTAAGCAACAAAACTAGAAGGTGGGCCCCTGTTTACAAGAGCTAAGTTGGCAAATTACTTGCTTAATGTTTGGGTTTGTCTGGGTTTTGACTTCACGGGGTTTATAAACCACTGAGGGTCCCACTTTGCAGGGGATACAATGATTATTTTATGGTATGTGCTGGAGATATATCGGATATACAATAGTACACATAGTGGTGAATGGCTAGAAAACCGTATTATCCAATGGTTTCTGTCGGGAAATAGTGGTGTGTAATGGTATACACACACAATTGATCAATCAAACACACACACACACACATTCATATCATATCATATCATATCATATCATATCATCATATAATATCTATACACGTAACCACCATCCTTTTTATATAGATTAAACATAGAGTTGGAAGTCGTTTCAAGTGGTTTTTTTTGGATTATCGCCAACCCCAAACTCCCGTTTATTTTGCGTAAAGTGGATTAACATCCGCCATCATCCGCCCCTGGCATTGGACAAACCATTTTTTTTGTGGTGTTTTCCATGGATTTTCATTGCTATACTGTCAAACCCAGATTTTCGTTCCCTGATGTTTTTCAAATTGGTGGCGAAAGATTTTTGAGGCGCAACTCGTTTTTTGGCTAACTGCTTTTCGGTGACCCAAGTTCGACATCTACCATGAACCATCCCAGGAATACCACTTCTGTGGGACGTTCATGACTTACATCATCCCATTGCCAAGGGGCCAAGTTCATAAACCGATATATTTTGGATGGAATGGAGAAAAATGTCCGTCGCCTAAAACTGAGCGGCGAAAAACCGACATCAATTTTACGCAAAGCATGCTGGGAATTAGCGAAATTCCCTTCTTGAAATGGAGGTTTTCTCGCTGGGCCAATCATCTATTTCTATGGTCCATTTGCCATATGCAAAAAATTACCAGAGGGTAAGATGAAAGGCAAATGGACCATTTATAGATGATAAACAGGTAATTAATAGTTGTGGAGCAACCTCTTTGATCAAAACAGGGGGCTCCCCACAAAGTCACTAAGCATTCTGACAGATTCTGACGGCCGACTTTACGGAGGTTTGGCGTCTCAACAGCGGTCCGTCAGTTGGCCGCCGAGCGTTTGCAATATGTCAGGGGTGCCTAGTTGTCGCACCGGAGAGAGAAGTTGACTGGGACCTGCTGTGAAGCCTCGAAGTTTTTGATGACAAAAACGGCACCTCCAAGTGTGGTTCACTGGGACCCGATCCTTTGAAATCGGTGGCAGTCTTTGCATTTACGGCTCCTTCTGGGTTTTGTCTGAAATTTAAGGGGAACCCCCGAAATTTTATTCTTAATCATCACTTTCTCTGATTAAAATGACCATAACTGGTAGGTATCCCCGTGTGAGACCTTGGCAACAGCACTGCAGCACTTGGTCACAGTTCACATCCCCAAGTTCCTTTCTAGTCTCACTACAAACAAATGGAGGTGTCCTAAAATGGGACTACCCCTTGCATCACCCAAGTCATGGATGACCATGACTTCGTATTGAAACCCATGGTGACTTGGGGATCCCCGGCCTTTTGGGTAGCAACTCTCCGCCAGGGTTCTGACGGTGCCAGCCTCAGCTGGGGCTGATCCCTGACTCCGGAGATCTCCCAAAGCTGTGAGGGTTACTACCTGATGCGAGGCTTACTACCTGATGAACAAATCCTGAAATCATGGGCAAAAACAGCGAGAGAAAATGCTTCAACCATTTTTTGTGGTCGAAGTGGTGTGGTTGCAACCGCCCAAGCACCAAGAAGTTTGCCCAAGATCAGGGTCATTGGGATCCCGGTTTTTGCCGATCCTGGCCGCCTGGCCCCGAAGAAAGCGCCAGTCAAGTATGGCTAGAAAGATTTTTGATAAATCCATCATGGTAAACCCAAGGAATTTGAGCCGATTTGCCACAGATCGCCATTGGCTCAGGAGATTTTGGCACAAAATCCCACAAAGAAACTTTCAACAAAGCTGGGAAGGGTTTGGCCTTGCCAAGGCGTTTGAGACCCAGATTGGCTTATTCAGGTTGGGTTTTTTTTGTTGCTTCGCAGCTGATGGGGTAAACAATCCGTGTTTCATCTTTATTTCACCCTCTGGTGAACTAACATAGCAATGGAAAATCACCATTTTTAATGGGAAAATCCACTATTTCTATGGCCATTTTCAATTATGTTAGTTCACCAGAGGGTAAGTCGGAAGAATCCTGGAGGATCCTGGAGGTATGTAGAGATGGTTCGGGTCGCCGGTATAACCATGGGTACCTGTGTAGAGGGTTTTACTGCTCGGTGTATTGGGGATAATTGCATTTCATAATAAAGATACCTACATTACATATATACATATATATATACACATACATATATAAATATATGTATGTGTATATATATATATGTATATACATATATATGTATATATGTATATATATATGTATATGTGTATATGTGTATATATGTATATGTATATATATATAATTATATGTATATATATATATGTATTATGTGTGAACCAAAAAGTATAATGGGATGGCATCGTGGATAGGGGTGTTTCACAGCCCAACTTGGCGTGTATGTCTCAAGTCCTTCTGTCCAGCATGGCATGGTTTATGGTTTGGGTGAAGTACAAGAACCTCAAGACGACTCAGAAATGATGGCAGATAGGACTAGTTTCAGGATGAAAAGCGAATCGCTATTTGACTTTAGTTACATAATGATGATTGAATATTGACAATAGAAATTAAATACTAGCAAGTGAATCCCTCTATGTATTCAATTCCTTTCAATTCCATATTTCGAATCCCAGCCCTCGTGCTGGCTGTGCTTCAGCTGTGAGGCGAACGTCGCAAAGCTATCACCACTTTGGCAACTTTGTGTCCATGTCCAGCGCCCCACCGGAGAGCTATCGGCAGGGGCGACACCTGGATTGTGGCATTTGGAGTTTGACATGAAGGGTTGGTCAAAACCAGCTATCTTTGCGGCAGTATGGACCCAAGTTCTGGTTCCACAGATGACGAATTCTTTTTGGGTCCATTGATTGGTACCCCTTTCTGAGCCAAAGCCATATGTATATTTTCAATTTTTAAAGCGTGTTCAAGCAGCAAAAGCTGGGGACGTCACATGACACCAAGAAGCACGGGGATTTTTGACATGATTTCAACAAATTCAACCAACTGAATGTCTGGATCTTTCTAAAAAGAATACATCATGACTTAAGATTTCTGACCACGAAAAACGCCTGGATTTGATCACCACCTGGGGGTGCGTGCCCGGTGTTTTCATGGGTAGAGAACCATGGTGTTTTCATCTCCCCTTCAGTGGGTATGCCACCCCTGGAAAACTAACTGGTGAAAATTTTGAGCAATTCTTGGTGGAACTGCACCCATAAACATCCGTAAACTTTATATCCCAAGTTATGGGGGTTAAAATCCAATGCTTGGTTATCCCATGAATAACTCCAGCAGCTGCAAGTAAGGTAAAAATATCCAGGCAGCATTTTTGATGGCCAAAGTGCCATTTGTGATGGCCCAACCAGGAGCTCTCCTACCCTGTGACTTCACCCTCTGCAGGGCAGTGCCAGCGCCTGAAGCAGTGGAAGAAGGTGCCATGGCACCTTTTCATCCGAAGAAACGGGACGTTTTTTTCCAGGACGCATCAAGATGTTGGTTTCAACAGTAAAAAACGATTCTTTAACCAAAAAAGATAAGGATTTGGGCGAAACCGTGACGAAAACACACCTGGAGATTTTTCACCCAAACCATCGAAAACAGGGGGTTTTAACCAGCACAGATTTGGAATCCGCAGCGGAAAATCAGGCCTTGGGCGATCCCCAAGTCACCATAGGTTTCAACAGCCAAGTCATGGTCATCCATGACGACTGGATGATGCAAGGGGGTTACCCCTATGACTTAGGAAACCATATGATAAATGGTAAGGAATGATTATGATGATCTATAGTTATCTATAGTTAGATTATCTATTAATCTCATCTATGGAATATCTGATCTACAAACTATGCATAGTTATATAGATGACACACATATATATATATACATACAGTATAATCAATAGATCATCATATTAATGTCATCTAACTCTAACTATAGTTAATCCAACCATTTTTGATATATAACTATCATCCATTATAATCTATTATAATTATTACTATAATCTGTCTAAATCTATGATATATAACACCATATCCAATAGATATAAAGCTATAGTTGGATGATAGATAATTATATCTACAGTTAGGTTATCTATATAAAACCTACCCTCTGGTAATTTAACATAGCTATTGAAAACACCCCATTTATAGTTGATTTACCTATTCAAAATGGTGATTTGCTATAGTTATGTTAGTTTACCAGAGGGTATATCATCAAACATGCCATGAAAATGCCCTATCAATGGAGGTTTGTGAGTGGGAATCATCAATGAAAATGCCAAGGGTATATGGGGATGGGTCAAAACCCTGGTACCTAGTGAACCTCAAAATAGCTGGTAAATGGATGTTCATCCCACTAAAAATGGTATTAATAGATATTGATCCATACCCATATAATGTGTGTATAACTATTGGATTCCAAATTTTGGATTCCGTATAATGTTAGATTGATTCTATATGTATTCCATCATTGAATGGTCCGTGACCTTGGCCAACTTCTAGCGCCTCGGCAGGTCATTCGAAAGCTGCGCAAAGGTGACGAGGGCGACGGCACCGGCACCGGGTCGCGCGGGGCGGCCGCCGTGCTGGGCACCTGGGGATGCTTGTGGCCCGGCGGAATGGAGGTTTTTTCCGATGGTATGGTTGGTCGGTATGGACATCATGGGATATATATATATACAATATATATATATAGTAAGATGGGATATATTTTACAACTTAACAACTTGAGAAGTGAATAAACATTCCAACGTGCTTTTTGGTTGGTGCACCCTTAATTCAGGACAAGTCCATGGGGAGGTTTGCCATATAGCTTACAAGACAGGCACGAATTTCAGCTTGAGCTTGGGAAGGACGGTGCCAATCATCACCAAAACAAATCAAGCACCAAAACAGATCCAAAATGGATAAATCATCAATCAGCGAACAAGAAATCTGACTACTCTTTTGCTTCTTCACGCAAAACAGATCCACTGAACAATGACAGAGGTGAACCATGCAAGCAAGTCAGAAAAACCTGGGCGATTTTGAGAAAGTGCACGAAAATCTGCGCTTTGGACGATATTGCTCCGAATTCCCCTTTTGGAGACAAGAAGTTGGTGGGTTTTCACACAAGGGCCAGTTGTGATGTACAGACAAAAACCCAGCTGTAGCTAATATACCCCGGCGACTTGCTTAGTAAGTGGATTACAAGTGGGTTAAGCGGTTAAACCCATCTGCAAGTGAGGTAGTTTCCACTAAAAAAAGTGGGGTTAGCCCATTTTGAAGCGGATTTTTTTAGTCTATGGCCCCTGGATCTCCCGATTTTCTGTTATTCCAAGGGGGTTTGTCCTAAAATGGGATATACCCTCAGAATAGCCATCTAAAAGATGGAAGATTCGATGATTGACTGATTTGGGACCATTTTCAGACAAACCCCTAGCTGTTTTGGGACAGCTTTGTTGCGATGACTTTCCCTTCAAAGAACTTTTAAACATAATGATGTTCCCATCGCCTCAGGGTTTCGCTCATCCTTAGCCTCTGATTTCGAGGCCGACTGCAGCACAATATGTTTCGCTGAGTTTTTTGTTTGACTGGACAGGCTTCAACAGGCGGCTGGGTGGAAGGGAGTTTTCGGTATCCCTTCATTTCGTGCGGAAGTAAAGGTTTGACCAGTACCCTCTGGTAGACTAACATAACAGAAGTTTCGACTGGAGAATACAAAAATGATAGTAATTAGTAATAGTAACACGTTGGAGTATTACCGTATACTACAAAACTTGTACAAACAGTCCGAAACTTATGGAAAATCACCATTTTTAATGGGAAAATCCACCATTTCAATGGCCAGTTTAATGGGTAAATCACCAAGTTCTTGAAGGATACCTCCTCAATCACCTTCCACTTTGCTTGAGTTGGTGGGAGGGATGGCAATGTGGCTACCAAAGCTACATTTTAACATTGATTGTTCGCATCGAATCTGTATTTATTATTCCATTAGTATTATCACTACTATTACTATTACTAATTACTATCATTTTTGTATTTTCCAGTCGAAACTTGTTACTACATGGGGAAAACAGACAGAATGTGCGGAAAATTGGGACCCCCAAGGATCCTCCCTACAGCGTCTGAATGGCCGCGCCAATACTTTGGGGTGAACTTGGTATTGACGACCCATACAAATATATGTATATGATTATATATATATTATATGATATATATGTATATATATATATAATATTGCATTATATATATAATAATATATATATGTATATCTATAAAAATAAAACATATAATGTATATAATGTATATAATGTATATAATATATAATATATCATAATATATAACATATAACATATAACATATAATATATAATATATAATATATAATATATAATATATAGTATATAATATATAATATATAATATATAATATATAATGTAAATACTATATACTATATAATATATAAGATATAATCTAAATAGTATATAATATATAATGTATATGATACATAATATATGATACATAATATATGATATATAATATATGATATATAATATATGATACATATAATATATATATATATCATATATGTAATATATATAAAATATCATATACATAGTATATATATACATGATATATAATATATCTGATATATATATAGATGATATATATATATATAATATTGATATATAATATATATTGTATATAATGTATATATATATATTATATTACATATATACGATATATTATAAATAAATAAATAAATATATATATAATATCTTTTATATATTATATATATATTATATATTATATATATTATATATACTATATATATTATATATTATATATATATTATATATATTATATATATTATATATTATATATATATTATATATATTATATATTTTATATATATTATATATATTATATATATTATATATATTATATATTATATATTATATTATATATTATATATTATATATATTATATTTATTGTATATTATAGATATTTATATATTATTTATATATATATATTACATAAAGCATATACAGAATATATCCAATATATCTTATAGATCTTATATATATAACGTATATAACATATAATATATATATAACATATATAGTATATCTAATATATATAATATATGTTATGTATATAATATATATAATATATATACTATATATAATACATATAATATATATAATATATATAATATATATAATATATAATATATATAATATATATAATATGTATTATATGTTATATATATATTATATTATATATATTATATAAGTTATATATATTATAAATTAAATCTATTATATCTATTATATATGTTATGTATATATTACATATATATTCTATATTATATATGTTCTGTATATTATATATATTATATATATTGTATATATTAAATATGCTATATATATTATATATTAAATATATCATATACTATATATTATATATGTTATGTGTATATATTATTTATATCATGTATATTATATATATAGGATATAATCTATATTATATATATTTTATTATATATATTTTGTAGATTTTATATATTATATAGATTATATA